CGGTTTGCGCCTTTAATACGGGGACCGCGGAGCTATGGGGTTGAATGGGCTGTAGCCCCACCAAAAACTACGTAAACGGCGACTAAAAAATTCAGCCGAGTCGTAGGACGCAGTGTTCCTTTGCCCTTCTGCACTTTCCAGTAGCCTACCCAAAGACGTAAAAAATCCTTCGATGTTGGGCAGCCAAATCCGTGCACCTTGCATAGTGCTTCTCAAACTTCACTGATCGTCTGCCTCCAGTTCCGCCATTTTGAAAATGTTAGTTTCCGGGGCTTCTTGTTTAATCTAACTTCCGGTCATTTCTATTTCCGCTTCCTCAACTTTTAGTTTTATTGAACATCTCTTGGTTATATAAGGTCACGCGTGAATGAGTCAGGAAAGCAATGTATGCTGCACAACATCGATGTATGACATCCAAAATCGATGTATTCCGGATGAAATTCATTTATTTTATTTTAAGACTTCTATTATAACGCATAACAATAATGTAATTGAACAAAACATTAATGTATCCATGTTCGATATTTTGTCCGTAAAAGAACCTCTTACATACACTCCGAAACAATTCTTGCAGTTTCTCCCGAGATTTAGTATACGGAACCCGATGAACTAACCCTTTTTCTGCAGATTTGTTTCCGTCATTAATGATGTTACGCTCTTATGGACCACAACGGTTTTGAGCGACAAACTCGACATCTCCCTGCGACCATCAAAATCAATTGGACAAACCCAGCTTGATGTATTGCGTGACGTGATTGTTCAAACTTTTCTCTTTTTCATACGACCTGTCTCGCAGGTGCTACGAGTTGGAACCAAAATTAGTTAATGTAACGAATTGGAATCGAAAGTTATTCAAATGGACTGAAGAATTTTACATTTTAATGAGAATTTTATCGTTTAAATGTTTTCTTGATTCACGGAAAGCAAAGATTGGAGTGGCTTTGGGTATTTCAGCCCTGATTTGGAAAAAATAAAACAGTTAGTGGTATGTTCTAAACACCAGAACACCTGAAAGGACACTGGAAATGTAGTAAAAGTATTTTTTAGCATCCAGAGCAAAAACAAGAATGTGAGGCAGTGAAAGGAGACTGAGTTTTCAACGCCATTTGTCGTAAAAGCTGCCACCAGCTTGTTATTGAACTCACTAAAATTTACCTGGAAGGCATTAACTTTTTTTGTCGCGAAACTCGTGGATTTTAAAACTTTGAAACGACGTCCGATGAATCCTGAAACTGGAGTTTGAGTCCATTGGTAAACTATGCCAGCTGGTCTCTTGAGCAGATCAAGCTCTGACGAAATTTGACAGTTTTGAAGTTTTAAGCGGATGCAAAAATCGAGACAAAAATTCGTCATGACACAATTTGTCCTTTGATTTTGTCAAGAGAATTCTGGTTTTGTCTGCTATTGCAGATAGCCCAGATAGGCACTTACAAACCAATTTTTAGTTAGGTAATAGCCTTCACTCTCGAGAAATTGCAAATATATTACTCATGTTATACGAGTACAACTTAAATTCCGAAACTTCAATCCAGTCAGTCTGGCTTTCTTTTACTGCCTCACATTTTCCCTTATGCTGTGGCTGTTAACAAGTACCTCCACCGCATTTCTAACGTTTCTTAAAGTGTTCAGATGTTTAGAACATACCAATAACTGTTATATCTTTTTCCATATCGTGGTCAAACTGACCGGAATGAAACAAAATTAACTTGTAATCTAAGATTTCGCTGGATAGCTGGTAATACTTCAAATAACTCGATACGTCGTCCCAGGAGAGAAATCAGGGCTTAAATATCCAAAGCCACTCCAATCTTTGCTTTCCATGAATCAAGTAAACCTTTTTAAAAGTTAAAATTCTCATTAAAATATAATTCAGTCCATTTTAATAACTTTTGATTCTAATTTGTTACACTAACTAATTTTGGTTTCAATTTGTAGAACCCGCGAAACAGGCCATATGGCAAGGGGAAAAATTTGCACAATCACGTCACGCAATATATCAAGCTGGGTTTGTCCGGTTGATTTTGATGGTCGCAGGGAAATGTCGAGTTCGTCGCTCAAAACCGTTGTGGTCCATAAGAGTATAACATCATTAGTGATGGAAACAAATTTGCGGAAAGGGGGGTTAGTTCATCGGGTTCCGTATACTAAATCTCGGAAGAATCTGCAAGAATTATTTCAGAGTGTATGCGTGTTGTTTTGTAAATATAAACACTGCAACCCATTTTAACGTGTTTTTGTGTCCTTTCAAGCAACGCGATATGTCTGTTATGACCAGAGTGCCAAATTTTATTCTTTAATTTTGATCTTCTCCACACTGCATAATTCATGACCTGATATTTCAACGTAAATTATCGAGGAGGCCTTCCTATCACCTTTGTCTACTTTGTAAGTCACGCAAGCGCGCAAGCGTTACGACCGATAACGTTTACGCAACGTTTTAGGACAACTCGGCATGTAATCTCCATTCATTTGCAGTGAAAACCTAAAATCCTCAACGTAGAGGATAAAGGAACGAAGTCTGAACTGCCAAAAGGAGATCTTGGTCAATTCCAAGAATCAAGCAAATGATCTTTGACACGAGCGCAATTGAACAAACACATGGATTTGCGTTGTTTTTAAGAAGTTGGTGGATGGAAGCTAGAGATATACCCGCGGATTTGAGGCAATCTGTGACCTCATTGGTGTATAAACTGTGCACTGATATGCTTTTTCGGCCCGATTAACGACTGCATTTTGATAATTCTTTCGTACAAAGTAGTGAATTTTTGATATGCAAATCAAGGTCGAAGAGCAGGGTCTCCTCTGATCACGCTGGTATGAAAAATATTTCAGCTGAAGTTTCCATATTTTGTCTGTGAACTAAATGAATACACCTTGTAACATGTAGCAAGATAGAATTCCGTGAGCTACATTGTTGCAGTTGCTGCGCGCTAGACAAAATCTTTGAAATTGACACTTTCGATCACTGTTCGCAGGGGTGGTCTGGCCAAAAATGATTTTTGGCTTGTGGCGAAGCAAAAAAAGGGAGAATTGGAGAACAACTAAACTATTTTTGAAACATGTGTCCTAAACCCTTTTCATTGGCAAAAAATAAAAGAAAACTTTTTTCCGACGGGAAGTCAAGAGGACCGCTCTTAGCGAGAGTGGCACATAAATCATATATAATTAGAAATTCACAAATGCTGCAATCTGATTCGCTACGCAACTACGTAGCCTCATACTGTCCAGGTGTCTAAAAAAATCATGAGCCTGTTTCGTTGTTAAGTTTTGAACGAGTTCAACTTAGAAGTTCAACTAAACAGTTTAATCGTTTGCTTTTGATTTCTCTGTGTGATAATTGATTCAGGCTTGGCCCAAGTCAACGACCACGCGAAAGAAATCTTGAACTCATAGGGCAATTTTCAATCTAAGATTACATTGGTTTTGCTCCTCTCTATCATTGATCCAGAAAACTCGGGCCACTCTCTTTCAACCAATCAGATGCAAAACTAAAATCAACCACAACTTGGTCGCCCGTGTTTTCCCGCGCTTTAGACAGTTTGGTTGTGTTCACTTTGATTTCTCTTTGGCTCTTCAAAGTAATTTTTTTCTTTTGATTGGCTGTTGGGATTACTTTGATTTCAGTTTTACGACACTTTGTGAAAAAGCGTTCTATACGAAATTTCAAGGGTTAAATATGAACAAAACTGGAAACATGTCTCTCTAGTCAACTCCGGGCAAGTCGTCGTTCTATGTAGTAGCACTACTCTTAATTTCTTAATCCACCCAAAGGAAGTAGTGCAACTGATTCTACGTGATATCGATACGACATGCGCGCAAAAACACATAAGCGTATCTGTTAACCACAGAGTTGTTTGGCCTTAAACATCCTGCAATTCACCAGCCAGTGGAAAAAAGCCCCCACTAAAGAATTTCCTTCATGTGGCTGGCAGTTTACAGCGGTTCAAATCTCCGCTGCATCACTTTGCTGCTTAAAATCCTATTGTGACTATAACTGGAAAGTTTGCCTCCAGTCTCCACTGTTCCATTAGCTATCTTTAGTACTCGTAACCAGGCTTCTTCTCAGATTCCAATTCCCGGCCTCGAGGCTGTGTGATAACAGACACGTTATAAATGAGTTTTCCAATGGATTTCCAGTTTCTGATTATGGTAAACACTTCTATACCTGATTTTGCATAGATATCCTACATGCTAACTTTTAAAACTTGTGACTAATCCATTTTATGACTAATCACTGGTATTCCAGTTGCTAGTTGAACTAAAAACTTCTAGACCTGTTTTCGCAAGGACATCCTACGTGCTAACTTTTAAAACTGATAACTAATAAATTTTTGGTATGTGTAATTTGTTCAGACAGTCGGTCTACGCTGTGTAATAACACATTACACAGCCATCCCTTCCAACAAGGTTACTGCAGCTGTTTATATTGTTGTTTTGTTTTTCCGTCTCAGGGCCGTAAAGGTGTTGCAAATACGGCCACCGGGCCTGAGAATTCACATCCACTTTCAAGTCAGGAAGTCCTCATAAGTGACTTAAGACAGAATTTCTCCTTACAATATCAAAACAATATAAAGCAGACAAGTTATGAGAATAAAAAAAATTATCAATAAGGGGATTATCAGTTGATCCATCAACAAATTCTCCGACCTAACATCTAAAGAATCGTAAGACAGACAGTAAGGAGAGTTAATAAAAATATCTTGGGAGTGAAAGGGTTAAAGGATACAGCCTTTCAGCGAGAAGCCAGTATGGCGATTTGGATCGTAAACTTTACGGTAGTCAAACACTTGAATAATTTATAACTAATTTAGTGAACCGAATTAGAGCGTAGAAACATCTTCTGATGATTGCGTTAATCAATAAAACCAACCAAATTGAGCGTTATCCGATGTTCTGCCAACGCTTTGCAAAATATTTGCATTTTTTCACGTTTTGGACATAAAAAAAGTTTCTTACCTTTTAAAAACATTGGTCGGAACCAATTTCTGCGCAGGTTCATCTCAGCTAACTTGAAAGCGAGGCAGTTTGAAATGCAGCTTGGGAAGAGTCAAAAAGCCCCCGTAAAGAGGGTACAAACTGAACTTGAGCCTGTGATCGCCAGTTGGCCGCAGACGAAATTGAATCTGGAGATGAAATTCATAGTTAACAACTATTCACCGAAGTTGCGTTGGCTTCTGGCGAATTGCGCCCGCGTTTCTCGTAGATAAATAGCAAAGGATATTGGGAGTTTGAGTAGCCAATCAGTGCGCAGTAGCCAATGATATATTTCTTCAATTATATTATTTCACCAAACCCCCTCGCATGAGACAAGTTTTACGTGTAGCAAGTAAGCTGAACTAACCTGTTTATGACCTGAATACATAAAGGCGTTACTTGGCTCCACTGTGACTTCGACTTCCTGACCTTGAAGCGTTCTATTGCGGACGAGATAGCTTACGAAAAGTGGGCTCTGTACACAGCCGTATGCAGGCAAATCTGAAAAAAACGGTACAATAAATAACAAATGAATAAAGGGGTAAGTTTCTAAAGAAACTGTGGTGCTGCGTCGGTGGGAGAGTATAGCAGGTAATTTAGTGTTAACAACTGGGTTGAAAACGTAAATTAGCCAACGTAAAGGGTAAAAAAGCTAGCTTTTACCCTTTACGGTGGCTAATTTACGTTTTCAACCCAGTTGTTAACACTAAATTACTTGGTACAATAAATAAATTTTTTTCTTTGGTCTTGTAACGAGGTCGTGCCTCCATGAGGATTAGAGCCCCAGAATTTCGACTTCCGCTCTCGAATGGCAAGCTTTACTTTTTCCTTGTCCCACGCTTGTATGACCAAGAAAAAATATCTTTCTTTACTTTATTACGGAGCTTTAAATTTACCGTCTTTCCTTTTCTATTCATTAACAAATACATATATTCAAAGATAATTTGGTTTTATCAACTGAAGTTATAATGTAAATTGGCCACCTTAAAGGATTTCTACAGCTGAAGTATCGACGTAGGGCTGACGCTCGAGAGGTCCGCTTAAGAAACTCTTTACAGGGACCAATTTCTTTTATTAACTTTGTTAATAAAACATGACTATTGTTCAATACCCCCACTGACGTAGCACCAAATTATGTTTAAAAACGTACCCCCTCTATACATTTATTAACACTGAGTTTAACCACGTTTTTTTATGAGTGGCTTTTCCTAGTGCGTGTGAGGTTTCCTCATCTCTTGAGCAATTTGAAACCCTGTAAACGCGCAGTAAGAGTGCTTTCGCAAAACCGTATCGACTTTATCGTGTTTATGCCAATTGGCCCGGAACAATAACACATTTGGACGAATTTAAGAGATCCTCGCAGCTAACAACACTACTGAAATAGTAGTTGAAAATAGGACCTGAAAAAAATTTCAGGCCCGTACGGGATTTGAACCCATGACCTCTGCAATACCAGTGCAGCGCTCTACCAACTGAGTTAACAAGCCAACTGGGAGCTGGTCAATATGCTGGGTCCAAATTAACCATCCAAGTGATGAATAATGATTTTAGATATATGAAATTCATACATTTGCATTGCGGTGAAAACGAATTTAAGAGATCCTCGCAGCTAAGAACACTACTGAACTTGTAGTTGAAACATAAACTCGCATCTGAAAAAACTTTGCCTGCACAAAGGTGGAGAAGCACGAATAAACCTTTTCCAGTATAGTTTGATTTTGAAGCTTGGCATATTGCCGTATGATTAACCTTGCTGGAAACGTACCTGCCTGTATCGCAAAAGGAACACTCTCTACTGTTACAGAGGGGAAAGTGAGCTCTGTGACCACAACTGGAAACTTATCAGCCGCAGAAGTTCTAAAGAATTAAAACAATGTAAAATGATTAAATCAAGAAACGAAAGGACTTCTATATATTCCCCTAAATAAGGTTCAGTTAAAAAGGCATCAGTGGATCCACTGAGTGTTGGCAAAAACCATAAAACCAAAGTAATAAAATTGGTTCATCAGGACCGATGAGAGCACGAAGAAAAATCAAGCAAACTGCCTGAAGCGCGGGAAAACGCGGATGGCCAACTTGCCACTGGTTTAAACTTTGCATTTCATGATTGGTTGACAGAGAGAGAGAGTTGTGCAACTTTCCTACTCCAATCACAAAGCAAAGGAAGGCAAGACCAAATTTTGAATGCAGTTCGGTATTACAATCGGTACTCAATTGAAAATTGCTTCAACTATCTCACTTATCTTAGACTCCCTCGAGTTAACCACGAACTTACCGTCTCCACTGGAGGGCAAGACTTCCAATGTTCACGACCTTCAGTTTACTGACACCCTCTTTAACAGCTAAGCAGTAGCATTCCGACGCACTTTCACCCTGTTGCAAAGAGACTGGGACCAACATACATGAAGTTAGAAGGAGAAAAAGAAAACAGCTAGGAAGTCGGGAATAATTGTCAGTTTTTCACAAGAAATCTTGCACCCGCAATTTGTATATAAGGACACATAACGCAAAGCTGTATGTTCATATGAAAAGGGGCCTTGAAAACTCCTCAACAAAATAGACCTCGTATTACCATGCAAATTCTTACCCCCTCTCTCCATTGCTCTACAAAATCGCTCAACCTTGTCTGGTATGTCTTTAATTAAGAGGGGCCTTGAAAACGCCTCAACATCTCCTCGTATTCCCATGCAGATCCCCCCCCCTCTCTCCATTGGACTACAAAATCGCTCAACCTTGTCTGGTGTGTATTTAATTAGGAGGGGCCTTGAAAACACCTCAACAAAATTCTCCTCGTATTCCCATGCACATTTCTCCCCCCCCCCCACCCCCTCTCTCCATTAATCTACAAAATCGCTCAACCTTGTCTAGTATGAGGAGGGGGCCTTGAAAGCCTTGAAGCTCCTCAGGAAAATTCCCTTGTCTTCCCCTGCTGATTCCCCCCTCCTTCAATTGGTCCAAAAAAACGCTCAACCTTTTCTAGTTTCCCCAAATGTTCGGCGATTAGTTATAAAGAAGCCTAATCCACTCTAACGACGAGAATCTCACAGTTTTTTTGGGGACAGCAATGCAAGTAGACGCATCTTTAACTAATTCCGATCGGTTATTCTCGTAATACACAGACATGTATTCCTTACTTCCTTGCAGCTGCGATCCCATCTCTTCGCCCACAATATTCACTTCTGGAGACTGAAATCAAACAAACAAACAAACAAACAGTTCTCCAGAATTTCTGCTTCTAATTTGAAGCACAGTTGAAAGTAGGAACCGACTATTCTCAAGAAGATATAGGTTCCTTGTCAATGCTCGATAAAACCTGAATTTTTCAGGCTACTTTTTCTTCAAGGAGTTAAATAGCAGTAAGTTTGAGAAGATCAATTCGAGACATGTCATCTTATCCAAAGGTTGAAAAATAATTCATGACATATTATTTTCGCGCGGTTCCGGCACACGCACGAAAGCTGTAGTATATATACATTCCCAGCTTGACTCGGGGGAGGGGATACTAAGTGAACCCAGAGATTAACTTTTCCACTAAAACGGAGATTTCGCTCCGACCCACCCCACCCCACCCAATATCTTGCAGCACTTGCTCTCCTGCTCCATTAACTTATCTTCACGACTATATTTTCTAAAGGAAGACAAATCAAGTTTTTACGAACATAACTTGTTTGTAAACTCACCATATTCAATGTAGTGGTGACCATGGTAACAGGCCAAGGTGAGGTGCATTTGATGCCAGCTAATAAGATGAATGGTTCTTCTTCGAACAGCTGATCCAGTCTCTCCAACTGAGAATGAACGCAAATCAATGATTTGAACTCATTACATTGCTTTGGCTTACACCCCCCACCCCCCTCATAAAAAACAAACAAACAAAACAAAACAAAAGCAAACCACGACGACGACAACGAGGGCATAACAAAACAAAATATCTAATTTTCAGAACAATTGATCGGCAACTTTGTACATTTCTTATCCGTTTTTTGCAAAACAACAACTTGAAATCAACAAAATTTGTGTGGTCTGTGAGCGGAAAACCCGATGGCAAACTATCTAAGCGCCCGTTTGGAACTCAACGCTGCTGCCATACGTTAAGCTGCGGTTGACGTGTGGCGCTACAAGAAGCAGTAAACGCATTTAGCCATTCGCGAAATTATAAATTCATTTTTAAACCATCGTTTACTGCGGCGTTGCCTTCCTGACTGCCTGAGGTCCCCATTTACTAGCCTAGACACTGCGTTACTTTGTATAGGAACCTTACAATTGAATTTTCATCGCGTGGTAAAAGACAACTTAGCGCTAATCATCAATTCAAACCACAGCACCCTCATTCAGATGCGTGTTAGTCAGAAAGTGTTTCTTGATGCACCAGACCAGGTTTATATTCGTAGAGTTATGCAGCGATCAAAAATTTTTGACGGATTTATAGATGCATTAATTTATGCCATAAATTTCAATGAAATAAAAAAAATGAGACAAGAGCGAGAGCAAGTTTGCTAACATAGCCAAAAACGCAAGTTTGATCGATTCCAAGAGACGTAAAATTACATCGTAAAAAATATTGCCTATTTTCCCTTACCTTGAGATTTGTCAGAGACAAAGAGATTTCAAATGGCATAACAGTCTTGATAACAACACTTTCCTCCTAAGGCGGGTATAAATCAGGACAGTAGAGAAAGAAGAAAGCAAAAAGTCGTCGTTATTTTGTATTCACCAGGTAGAGGAGTTGTTAATTGCGTGTCGAAAGAAATCTGAGATTGCTTGCGTTCTATCATTGGTCCAGAAAACTCGCGCCACTTTCTAAACCAATCAGATGCAATACTAAAGCCATGTTTTCCCGCCCTTTGGGTATTGTTGTTTTTCTTTTGAGTTCTCATTGGCTCTTTCAGTTATTTCCCTTTCTTCTGATTGGCCGTTGTGATTGCTTTGGTTTTGGTTTTATGACAGTCAACCGAAAAGCGCTCCATGTTACAAGTGCAACTCACATTCACAAGTGCAACTACATTACAAAGCGAACGAGAATTAAAATTAAATGTGGAAATACTGAGAGGTAGTTTTACTTTTACTTTTAAGACACAAAAGAGTGATCTCACCTTGGCACAGGTACAGGTGACTGGCGAAGAATTTGGTTCAACTTGGACATCTACAGTATAGATAATCTGCATAAAAAAAAATAAATAAAAAAATAAGCAAATGACTAGGATTAAGCATTGATAGGAATCTTTTCAAAGAATGCAAGATATCTTAACTTGAAACTCGATCCTAAGAGAGTAAGAACATACAAAAATATTACGCATCTAAAGTTATTGTATAGAGATCTATTAACTACGTACTGAACGGAACTCATAGCCAACAGAACATGCACAATATGGCGAACGGAGGCAAGCGGAAGTGACGTAGGAGGGAAAGGCGGGGAAAAATAAGGCACTCCTCCCCTTTCTCTAATCCTCGTTCGCCTTAAAAACGCCTCTTCTGCAGGCTACCTATTGCACGACAATTTGACTTGAGGTCTCTAAATAGACGCCCAAAGAATTGTGATTAAAGGTACAATTATAGCTTACTTAAGTATTATACCTTTGCTGTTACAGTCCGCGATCCTACTTGAGAACATTTGACGAAGTACGACCTCTCGATCTAGAGAGAAAAGACGAAAGGGACACATTGACAATATGCCAGACGTGAATTAGGGTGGTTTATCAGCGTTAAAGCCTTATTTTCCTGCACACCAGACAAACGAAGTAAAGGTACTTTTTTATCCCACAGCACTACATAGAATATCAAAAAGAAATAACGCGCGCAACGAGTACAAATTACCCTCGATATTGTACGGTTATTTCGACAGTTGGTTACTTTGTACTGCAAAAAAACCTTGTAAATAGAGTAAAAGGATGGTTATTTTTAAGATCGGTAAAGAAAAAGAGAAAGGTGTTTTTCTTCTCGTCTCGAGCGTAGGACAAAGAAAACATTCCCCATGAGGAGTCAAACCTCAAACCTTCGGATTCCGCGCTTCGATGCTTTACCACTGAGCCACAGAGACTGTATGGTAAGCAATTCCCTTTACGAAGCTCATATATGACACGCGTCCAGCATACTGCTAGGATCAGCAATGTCGTTGGCGTCATGTTTTGTAAATAGGATAAGAAAGATAAAAAATAAAAAAAAAACCTTTTTGACAGGTTGGCTATGCTTTGCGTGAGTTGGTTTATTGGAGAAAAGAAAGGACGACATTTCGTATAAATAAATCAGTTGGATGACGAATAACTTATTAGAAGTTTTGGTGTATAGTATCACTGAGTATTTTCATTCGTTGGTTTCAAATTTGAATCAGTTGTCAAAATACGGCAACATCGTAAAAAACACAGCCATACTACACACCAAAACGTCTAAAAGGATAAAAATTCAGCGTGTGTCATGAGGTTCTCAATATGAAAAAAACAATAAATTCACCACCACCATCAAAGTTTTCTGTACACAAATCTCACGTGTCGCAAATCAAATTTCACTCTGAAATGCATAGCTTCTTGGTTAAAGGTAGAGACGCAAGAGTCGAAGATAAAATTCGTAGCCATACACGGCCAAGTATCATCTTTTATACAACCTCTCATACCTTATCAGTCATTCCATCCACAGTAAATTCCAAAAAGTTCGTTGCATCTCTCTCAGTCTTATCTGCTGCGGGTACTTCTGAGTATATCAAAGCGCCTGGAAATACAATTAACAGAAACTTGACATTTTGAACGAAAACACATCAACAAAAATTAAATTTTAATCGGTTAAATTATGAATGCAATTTGGAGCAGTTTTCAATTGAGTGTTAAAAGTAAACAAAGATTTCATTGATTTCGCTTAACTTCGCTGTGTGATTGGTCTAGAAAACTAGCGCCTCTCTCTCCACCAATCAGATGTAAAACTTCGGTTTTACCTTGAACTCTAATTGGCTCTTAAAGTTATTTTCCTTTCTTCCGATTGGCTGTTGTGATTCCTGTGGTTTTGGTTAACAACGCTAAATCAAAAAGTGCTTTAACGCTCTAATCTTCCGACATAGGAAAATACCCAGGCTCTCTCAGATTGAATATCTTTATTGACATATGACAATATAACATTTGGGAAGACGTTGTTGTTTTAAAACACTCACCTCTTTCGGGAGATTCCTGCTCGTCCTGAAATCCAAGCCATACTCTAAAAAAAGGCATTAATTGTTATTGTAACGCTTGAAAGAGGAGTTAGGTTCACGAAGACCGACAAAAGCGCGAAAATGTGAGAAAGGCAAAGACATGTTGCATTACTTTCAAATGACGGTAGGAGAGGAGAGAACTGGTTCACGTTCTTTTTTAACACTTAGATAAAAACACACTAAAAAGGCATACCTGAGGTCTTTCAGCGGTGTATCTTCCAAACTCTCAACAACCAGCTGAAGTTTATAAAGCTCGTTTACGAGGGCGGGTGGTTCGTGCTTCGTGCTTCAGTGTGATATTAACTCTTGGCTTGCGCGGTACAATTCTGGCGTAAAGAGTTCGCGAAGGGAACAGATATCAACAATAAATTCCAGCTTTCTGGGGTCGTAATTATTCATTTGACTAATTACTTCCCGAAGAAATCTCAGTGCCATGTGATTCAAACCTGTAAGCAATTACCATTCAAGTGGATACGCGCGCGCTGATTGGCTAACTGGGAGGTAGATACGTTAAAAATGTTTTGGATCACTAGTTATTCAGTTTGTGTGGTACAAACTGAAACAACAATTCACCTCTACGTCTGTTAATAATTGTTAATATATACTCCACTCCGTAGCTAAAGATTCAATGGAAAACAAGCATGACTTACTTAATTTTCGAGATGACCTTTAACTCATCCCAGTCAAACTGATCCTCCTTGCTGGTGGATTTTAAATCCATATGATACAAAAGGGAGGTTTTGGTTACCAGTCTCCCCTCCCCAGCCACTCCACACCAGTACAGCACACCGAGACTCACGGGACCCCAACTCCTGAGCAACGGAGGTGACCTAAGAACCACAACGAAGAAAAATAAATCTGAAGTTTCTTTTAAAGCGGTCTCCTCTGGAAAAAAGTTTTCTGTCAAACTTTGCCGGTGACACCACCGAGAAATCTGGGTTTGAGCCCTGGGTTGGGATCACTGAGTAATGTTCTTGGACAAAAATTCTTTACTCTACACCTAGGAATGATAAAGCGTGGGGAAGCAGGGGGAGGGGGGCAATCTTACTTTGGACTGACAGCAACACTCTAAACATAGTTTCTAGTAAAAGACCATTAGCTTTTCCTCTTTTGGCTACTAGTCTCGTCAGCTGACTTCAACAATTATCATTTCATACGAATAAATTATTGATACGTGCAAAGACTCGTATGGCGAAGTATTTCAGTATTTTTTTACCTGAAGTAGTTTTCCAACATCCTCAGGCTGGGGCACTAATTGAAACGGTATGACTTTGGTCTTTGCTGGAAGAAGATACAATCCACCCTCCCCTTGAGCGGACCCAGTCTCCACAACACACTGTTGGTTATAAAACTAAGATAAAAGATAAAAGAAAATTGAGTCAGGCCAGTAGAAAATGCAACCAAATTAGCATCCAGAGTGTCATGGCATGATTACAGGCAAGCAGACACGAAATTAGCATGTTCCAAGCATTCAATCACAACCGTGAAATTCCAATCACAGCTGAGCACAAGAGCATATTAGTGACGCGTACTCGATCGACCTCATCGCCCGAAGAAGACCGGCAGTATGCAGTCGAAACATTGCGATCCACATCCAAAGTGACCACAAATGATTACATTTTACTTTTGACGCCTTCAAGATCATAGACAATAAGACATCAGCTCAACGCCACATGCAAAACCAAACCAATCGTGCCTTTATTATCCACGTTTTCCTACACTTACTGTTGTACACAGTTGTTTGATTTTAGTTCTCCTTGGTGCATTTTATGGTCGACCTTCGTTCCGGTTAGCTGTGGTAGTTACCTTGCTATTGTAAGCGCCAGACTAAACTGTGCTTTCATATTTTGGCGAAACAAAGTAACACTAGCCTTACGTATATAGGAATATTTTAACTTACCTGATTGCTAAAGAAAACGGCAATCTTCGAGAATCGGAGGGGAAATGGGCAAGAAACCCTGAAATATAACAACACACAACAATAACGAGTGTTTAGACCTTTACTTAGAACAACTTTTAATTGATTGTCAATGGTAATCCGAGACTACATCACTTTTTCTTCGTTACGGTCAAAGATCGGTCTTGAAAAGTCGAGCCACTATCTCGACCAATCTCTCGCCTTTTCCCGCGCTGGCAGTTTGTTTGTACGCTGAGTTTTCATAAACTTCTCGTGATATTTTCTTTTGTCCTGAGTGAGCGTTGTGGTTATTTTAGGTTGCTTTACAACACTCAATCAAAAAGTGCTCTCGAAGAATCACCGAATCGTCACCATGCATGACAGAGCTAAATAACTTCAGTACTGACAGTTTTGAACCAAGGTTGTGGTCTCTTAAAAGCTTCCTCTTAACCATATTCTTCCCACGAGTAATCAGAACTTAAATTCTCCATACTTTAATAATATGTAAAACAGAAAGTTTACGAGAATCAAGAACTGAAAATGATCCATCAAGGGATATTCAAGAAAGCGACGACATGTTACGGTGCGTCTGTTTAATAATAAATCACAAATGACATCAGAATGCATCACTTTTTGAAAACCAGAGAGGTTTGGGGTCAGATCGCGTACTTCATAACGCTCACAAAGAATCACCGAATCGTTACCATGTATAGCAGAGCTAAATAATTTCAGTGCAGACGTGAAAATGTATCACTTTTTTGTTATTTCCAACATTTTGACGTCGTCTGTGATCTGTTAATGAACAGACACACGGCATCATGGAATCTGTTTGTCACGTATAAAACGAAATTCTCATGACTCACCATCAAAAGAAAAATCTGTCATTGGTTTGGAGAATTAATTAGATCTTTAGAGTTAAATGTGAAAGCTGTTTTGGATTAAGCGACTCTAAGAGGACATTACAAACCTTAAGTAAATTTGAAGAAGGATGGTAGAATCTGCTGTTGTTGAAACTGAATCAAAGATTGGCTTACATTCCACTGGAGAAAACAACAGGAAATATTAAAATATCACACACTCCTTTGCATAAGACAAATAAAATAAATTCATTCACTCATTAATATTTTGAGCTTAAAGATTTTACCTGTCACCTTATCAAGCCTTGGTTTCAAAGGGTATTAAAGAAGAGTTTTTTCCTACCCTGCAAGACTTTGTTTGCTGTATTTGGAAATTGAATTTAGCAGTTTCTACAGCCAAATTCAGTTTCTGCCTCTGTAAATTGTGAAATGATATCAGCGCAAAGAGGAAAAATACACAATAGAGTTGACATTTTCTCACCAAATGATGCTATTTGTTCCATCTGTATGGTAAATACTTGGGGTGCCTGTGGAGTCACTTTAAGTGTTTTCCATAGCTCCTTAGCTTCTTCCACTGCTTCAAAGTCACAGCCTGGCTCGGGCTCAGGACATTCATTCTGTTTGTAATTCCAATGAAAAATAAGAAATGATACAGCGATAAGAATTCAGTTGTTTTTCGTAACATGCTTGTCCTGTAAGAAGCGCTCGGCGAAAACGCGAGTTATCTACGCGCGAAAGACCAGCCATGCGGGGAAAGAAACTCTCTTTCCCGCGCGTTTAACTCGCGTTCAGGCGCGCGCGTGCTTTCTATGTTTAAATCACCAGTGTCAGGGTCGTAGATGACAAAAACAGAGACACTCAGCGTAAACTCATTCTACAATAAATGTTCTTCAAGAAATCCTCTTTAAACGACCATTTGAAATAAGTCCTTACCGACATGACGTGAGTAAGATTAGTTTGACATCTTGTTTTCTCTTCAGGTGAATTTTCAACATCTGATGTTTTCTTGAATCAAGGACTCTATCACCAATACAATATCACATATTGGGTATGATGTTTCACTTTTACAACGCGATGGATTTGACTTAGAGAAAATCTGTTCAGCTTAATACGACTACAATAGTCAATTGATATTATTCTAAAATTCCCAAATTTTGCAACCTTACTAGTTGGTTACCGTAGAGTACCTTGCGTTTTGAAGGCGCTTTTCAGCCTTTCCACCTGACTTGGAAATCACTTTAACCCTTTAACCCCTAAGAGTGACTAGCATGAAGAATCAATAAGAACTCAAAGCATAAACAGGCACCCTGCCTGAAGCGCGGGAAAAAGCGGGTGACCAAGTCGTGGTTGGTTTTAGTTTTGCATCTGATTGGTGGAGAAAGTGGCCCGAGTTTTCTTGACCAATCACATTACGAAGCTAAGTTAAACCAATGCAATCCCAGATCACTTTGCATTGAAAATAACTCTAACTAAGAGAATCTTTTCATCAAAAAAAAAATGCTACATTCAGTTATTCAGATGATAGGCAATATTTTCAAGGATACATCTTCCTGTCAATTCAAGCGAAAGGGTGATATATTCCTCCACATTGCCAACCAAGTATGCACACCTGTCATAAGAGTTAAGTAGACAATGGATGTAAAAATAAATAAATCTAAATTTGAAGTTGAGAAAAGCTGTTTTGAATGTTCTACCCCCAAAGTTGCTATTCATAAACAACCCCTTGACAATAATTTGACATGGAAAAAGAAGACCAACTTTGATTTTTGGCATTGTAGCAGTCCAACTGAACAGACGTGGAATTATTCTGTCTGTCCGAGTTGGTTGTGTCCGCATTGTAAATGAGCCAAACTTCCACCAACATCGACATACTATCCCTGATTCTCGCGCTTAAGGGCTTTTCAATAACGTGTTGCCAACCACAACCAAGGTAAACCCAACAACCAATCACAGTGATGGTAAATACCACAAGGGGTAACTTAGAGAAAAAACAAGTAACCTGCCTGAAGTGCAGGAAAACGCGCGTAACCAAGGCGCCATTGGCTTCAATTTTACTTCTGATTGGTTGAGAGGGTAGCGCGTGTTTTCAAGACCAATTTAAGAGCAAGGTAATGCAAAACTAAAGTAAACTCAGATTATTTCAACTGAAAATGCTTACATGTTGAGTTCTCAGAAACAAGAGCTGGAGAGTACAAATCTTCTCTCACTTACTACAAAACAACAGTACCTCAGTGATGTGATTAAAACTGACGTGAGAAGTGACCACCATTTTTCTGTGCGGTAATCCCACGTGACTTTTCCCAACAACCTTAAAGAACAACAAAGAATGACAACAATAAATGGAGTAAGTTTATGAAGACACTTTGGTGCTGCTTCGGCGGAGGTCGGTAAAGTTAGTTGAGGTGATAAAGAAAATTGGCCACCGTTAATAGTGTTTCTAACGCTGACGTTACGAGCGTTAGCCCTTCGTTAGAGCGAATGGAGGAATTGAGAGTCGTGTGTGGTTTATATAAAGAAAATTGGAGCTAAGCTATTGGTAGGAACATGGTAACGTGAAAAACACAACGAAAAGCTAGATTTTAAACATCAATCAAAGGAGCGGCCGTGCAATCACAATCAGACCACACTGTGTTTGTTGTTACTTAACTAATTGTTGACATGAGACGAAAAAAATCTACGAGGGTTATGAATAAAGCCCTGAAAAATGCATACCTAAATTACATCTCGGTCTGACTTTCTCCATAAAGTTAAATGAAATGTAATTCAACTCATTTTGTGGCGCCTTTTTACGAAATAACTTTCTCATAACGGCCTCCGGCCGAAAGTAATTTCTTAAAAAAAAACGCTTCAAACGGCCTGGTCTGCCTGTGGTACAATACTTGACCACTACTGATTCTAAACTGAAACTTTCTCTACTGCTTTACTCACAATAAAGCTTTACTGTAATCCCTGGCGTGGTAATACTCCTCACCCATCTGAACCACTGCAGAATTAACAGGAAATAGTTTCTGTCAGGTTATTATCATCACGAAACGTTCTCATGTTCGCAACCACACCACAAGACATAATGATAAACTTAAAGTTCTCTTTTGTCGTACAGGTACTGCTCAGCGGTCTCTCTTTTCTCATGATATTAGAACGTTAATAATGTACATGCAAAAATTACGCGCTTCTGATTGGCTAAAAACGAGTGCATTCTCGTGTAGCACGAGTGCAAATTCGTCTGTCTTGACTTTGGTCACTTTTAAAAGCACTACATGTACATTGTCATGAAGAAACAAAAGCTTTTAGTTGCATCTTGCTAAGTTCTTAATCCTTTACACTCTAAAATCAGTCTATATATTCTCCATACTGTTCTTTATACATTTCCTAAGGTGCTGACAAGGAGATTTTGTTCACCAATCAAAAGCCTCTTTGGTTGGTGATCATTTCCTTTATTCTCATGACCTTAACATGTGATTCAGGGCTGATATTTTAGGGAGAAATTTGATGCTGGTCACTCTTAGGGTTTAATTACCATTCAAGTGGATACCGTTCTTTGTGCGCACTGATTGGCTAACTGGGAGGTAGATACGTTAAAAATGTTTTGGACCACTAGTTATTCAGTTTCTGTGGTACAAACTGAAACAACAATTCACCTCTATGTCTTTTAATAATTGTTCATATTTACTCCACTCCGTAGCTAAAGATTCAATGGAAAACAAGCATGACTTACTTAATTTTCGAGATGACCTTTAACTCATCCCAGTCAAACTGATCCTCCTTGCTGGCGGATTTTAAACCATATGATACAAAGGGAGGTTTTGGTTACCAGTCTCCCCTCCCCAGCCACTCCACACCAGTACAGCACACCGAGACTCACGGGACCCCAACTCCAGAGCAACGGAGGTGACCTAAGAACCACAACGAAGAAAAATAAATCTGAAGTTTCTTTTAAAGCGGTCTCCTCTGGAAAAAAGTTTTCTGTCAGACTTTGCCGGTGACACCACCGAGAGATCTGGGTTTGAGCCCTGGGTTGGGATCACTGAGTAATGTCCTTGGACAAAAATTCTTTACTCTACACCTAGGAATGATAAAGCGCGGGGAAGCAGGGGGAGGGGGGCAATCTTACTTTGGACTGACAGCAACACTCTAAACATAGCTTCTAGTAAAAAACCATTAGCTTTTCCTCTTTTGGCTACTAGTCTCGTAAGCTGACTTCAACAATTATCATTTCATACGAAGAAATTATTGATAAGTGCAAAGACTCGTATGGCGAAGTATTTCAGTATTTTTTACCTGAAGTAGTTTTCCAACATCCTCAGGCTGGGGCACTAGTTGAAATGGTATGACTTTGGTCTTTGCTGGAAGAAGATACAATCCACCCTCCCCTTGAGCGGACCCAGTCTCCACGAGGGTTATGAATAAAGCCCTGAAAAATGCATACCTAAATTACATCTCGGTCTGACTTTCTCCATAAAGTTAAATGAAATGTAATTCAACTCATTTTGTGGTATGTTGGCGCCTTTTTACGAAATAACTTTCTCATAATGGCCTCCGGCCGAAAGTAATTTCTTAAAAAAAACGCTTCAAACGGCCTGGTCTGCCTATGGTACAATACTCGACCACTACTGATTCTAAACTGAAACTTTCTCTACTGCTTTACTCACAATAAAGCTTTACTGTAATCCCTGGCGTGGTAATACTCCTCACCCATCTGAACCACTGCAGAATTAACAGGAAATAGTTTCTGTCAGGTTATAATCATCACGAAACGTTCTCATGTTCACAACCACACCACAAGACATAATGATAAACTTAAAGTTCTCTTTTGTCGTACAGGTACTGCTCAGCGGTCTCTCTTTTCTCATGATATTAGAACGTTAATAATGTACATGCAAAAATTACGCACTTCTGATTGGCTAAAAACGAGTGCATTCTCGTGTAGCACGAGTGCAAATTCGTCTGTCTTGACTTTGGTCACTTTTAAAAGCACTACATGTACATTGTCATGAAGAAACAAAAGCTTTTAGTTGCATCTTGCTAAGTTCTTAACCCTTTATACTCTAAAATCAGTCTATATATTCTCCATACTGTTCTTTATACATTTCCTAAGGTGCTGACAAGGAGATTTTGTTCACCAATCAAAAGCCTCTTTGGTTGGTGATCATTTCCTTTATTCTCATGACCTTAACATGTGATTCAGGGCTGATATTGTGGGGAGAAATTTGATGCTGGTCACTCTTAGGGTTTCAAGGGTTAAAGTTAAAAAAGAGAGAACTTACTCAGGTATCTCTTCATCCTGGGTGATTTGTACTTTTTAAACTGAGCCACTGCACTACTGAGAAGGGGAATGATAACCCACTGCGAGAAAAAAAAAAAAGGAGCCAATATTCTAAGTACCTCAACCAAATATACAAAGTAGGTTAGCATAAATAAAGAGATTGATGGTAAGAGTATTTGCTAACAAGGTATTATGTAATACTGGCAATTAGGATTTCAAATTCATAATTGCTTTGGTTTGGCTAGAAAGCTCATTGATGCAATTGTGCACAACCAAAAATTTACAGTCATATTAATCTTGCATTTAAACTTAATTTGTCACCATGACTTCTCCCTGACACTTATCTGATCTTAATTTTCTTGAAATGAAAGTCTGCCAAACAATACAGTGCACTTACAGAATGGTCCACTTGGATTTCTTGGGACTGCAAGGCTATAATTCCAGCCTTCTCTATTCCTGCATCTGGTGGTTCTGTTCCTACAAATATATTAAGTCAAATGAACCCAGCAGTTCTACAAATTAAAGGAAAGTATTGCATCTCAACAGATCAAGTTTCAAATAAGCTTGAAAAAAAAGTTTTAAGATTTTTCTTCTGACAGAGTGTTTTTAATACACGAAAAGTTTTCTCTTATCAAATGGAACAAAATTCTAACACTGAGCTTTTCAACCAGTACATGGTTTGCAAAGGAAACTTACTGAGTGTCTCAACACCTTTTGTACTTACTCTAAAAAACACTGCAAGAGGAAAAAATTATATATTTGCAGTTACCTTGAAAACCTTGTCTCCAAGGTCTCTGACCATAGAAGTCGAGATTTCCAGCATTTTCTAATGGATTCATAGTAATTGGAGTGGTAGTCTAGAGACGAATTAATAACAGATTCCAATGTATTAACTAAAAAGTAACTCATCAGACTCAATGAACAATAAAAGTTAATTATATGCAGAAAACAAATGACCCTTTTGAGTGGTAGTTAATTAGTTTTTGGTTAGGTGTACTTTGAAGGGAATCTATGACCCTTTCTTGCCACTAGTTTACATTCAACATTATCCCACACTACAAGGGTGGTTTAAAGTCTAAGGCAATATTACTTATATCAAAACCTTCCCTACCCCTCCCCCAAACAATTTCAAATTTTGTGTGCTTTGTAAATGTTACCAGGTTTAGTGCCTAAACTTAGGCTTTACCAACATTGTTAGAGGGGGGAGTTCTGTGTACACAGCTGAATTGGCAAAAGATGGCCTTTTGTAATATGTTGGGATATAGGATATGTTTTTGATAACTGTCCGAACAAGCTTTGACCTCCATTGTAGCTATGTCCACTCATGTGTACAAGTATGTAGCCCAATTTATCTGAGTAAGGCCCTCCAGGAAAAGTTCTTCAGAAATAATTTGTACTTCAAAATTACCTAAGTCAGACAGTTCTAGTCTTCAAATTTATATTGGTAAGTGTCAACTTATGATAAAAAAATGGTCATTTTCAATAGGAAAAATATTGCTCCTTTGAGTTTGTGTCTGTCTCTGTTCCTTCAGATCGTTCTCAGCAATCCTCTGGCATGATAATAATTTTACTTACATGACACAAGCCCTGGCAAAGCTGTCTCCTGACAATGGCATTGTTTGCTGCTTGTTGATAGTAAAATCCTGGGTGTTGAGTCTGTGATAAAGTAACAGTTAAGTCTTTACCAGAATCTGAGAGTATGACTGATTTGGACACTCTAATCAGTCACTAGACCAGATTTGTTCAGGCACATTTACATCAATCCTATTTATTAAGGTGCCTCTCTCTATTTATAGCCAAAATTTAATTAGGGGAGAAAAGATCATCATGATTGTTAAGAGATGACAAAAAAGTACCTTTAAAACAGAAAAACACTCCATTATATTGCATACAATTATCATAAGAGATATAGCATAATGGGAGACAATTTTTCTTTATTCTAAATACCAATTCAGAATACTTAGTAACATAATTAGTAAGAATTTCTTTCTCTTCTTACAGATGTATTGTTGTTTGTAGATTTAATAAATAAATATTTCATTCATTGAACCAATATGCCAACACAGATCTTCTACATTGTTACCTGTAAGGCGGTTAAACCATTTCTGATGGCTTCATCAAACAGTTCTCCAAATAAACTGAACCTGTATTAATTTTTCACATAGTTTGTTATTGATTAAGCCTCTATAATTCCCTACCATACAACATGTTGTATTAAATTTGACAATAATTGTCATTGAACTGACTAACAAATTATTTAAAAGTCTCCTGTTTTTCATCACTTCGGTTCCATTATGTTGAAAAGTTCAGTTAAAAATTTCACTTCAACTTGACCTGTTCTTGATCTAATGTTGTTCAGAAACAAGAGTTGCTAGATCCTGGTTACAGCTTGAGTTTCTTTGAAAGCAAAAACCTTCTAGAACACAAACCAAAGAGGACTCACCACATCAAAGCTTGTCATGGTTTCTGTAGCATAAAGAGACTAAAAGTTCTCTCTCTGGATTTGATGCTACATATAGGTCTGGTAGATTACCCCCAACCCCCACCCCCCAGCATTTTTATCAAATTCCCTTCATAATTGGCCAATACTTATTTAAACTCTGGGATGGAGGGAGGTACTTTAGCTGTACATATGTAAGTGCCCAAAAAACAAACTGAATGCAGACCTTCCAGTTAAGAGTGAGGAGGCTAAACAGAAAAAATACTCACTGTTTGGAGAGCCAGGCTGAGTGTTCAAAGGCTAAGTCAGGGCAGCCAACCTTTTCCTTAAACAAATCCACATGCTTTCTGAATTGTGATATGGCATCTAATGGGGCTGATGACGACAAATCTGTGAGATGATTAATACAAATTGATCAATGTTGTTCCATTGTCAGGATAACTCAAAAGTCTTTGTAATATATGTCAAAGGAGGGAAATAAATCATCCCAATATAATGGTCCCATAGGACATTTAACTTCCAATATCACTGAATCTAAATTTAGCATCAAATTTTTTTCAAACATATTTGGTTTTTTTGTGACTACTCTGACTGTCAATAACCATTTAAATTTGTTTCTGTTTGTCACTGTTTCCAAAACACTCCTGTAAGTGACCATATGAGAAAATGTTGGACACATTTTTTTGTACTGTGTTTCTAGTAAGCAGTCACCAACAGGTTTGTTATAAAATCAGAGAGAGATAAGTAATGTTTCATAGACATTGTAAGCTACACATTCTATGATATAGAACTGATTCCAAGAATGAATAACTACCAGTAACTACTCTACCATAGTTCACTCAAAACTTGCTGATTATATTTTTTTAAAATAAACTTAAATGGCCACCTCCCTCAAGTGCCCACTCAAGAGCTACTTGACTGTACACCTGAGTACTGCACAATTTAAGTATCTGGTAAAAAAAATTACCTTGCATTTTTGAGAAAATGAGTAAATAATTGCAAAAATGTAAATGTAATAAGAGATCATGTATAATCTTTAACTCATCCAAGATGTAGGATGTCTTCTTCATAGCATATCTTTTATGTAACTATTATTACAATGGTATACAGCAAACATAAATAGACTAGAGTTCTAAAATATAAAAAAACACAAACCTTGTAATTAATAAATCCAGCAACAACTTTGATCTCTAGTATGTTCATGTCAGTTGTCTTGATTTCTCCAAGAAGACTGTATGCTTGCCTGTAATGCCTGGGGTTAAAATAGACAAAAGTTTTACATCAATCAGCTGATGTCTTGTATGTTATGTAAATGTAACTAACTTAGGAGTTTATGGTGAGAGATCCCCAGGCAAGGAAGACTGAAAATATTTGGGGAAGAAATTTGTGGCAGGAGTTGCCAATTTGGTAAACTGTGTTTGGCTGTCATGTGGCAGGGTGGAACAACTTTTCACTCTCTGTCATTTTCTTTCATTAAAAAAAAAAAAACAACTGCTCCTTCTCCTCCACTGTCTTAGTTCTAAACCTTGAGACACCTTGTGAAAATCCTACACCAAATGCTGCTCACACTGCTCATTTCAGAGCCAAGCATTGCTTGTTTAATATTCTCACAGTGTTTCCTTTTCAAAATTTTCATTTCTATTTTTCCTCTTTATATTTTCTTTTCTCAAAAAAGTTTCTTAACAGAAAGTTGGCTTACAGCCCTGAAAGTTCCTTTTCCTTCCTGACCCCTTAACCAAAAAAAAGGGAAACACTGAGATCTACCTTTTGGCCAACTACATGTAATTGTTGTCATTATTGCAAGATCAATAAAAAAATAAATACTGACGAACTTACTTGATAGCAGAGTGAGGGTCTTGTCTTAGCTCATTGAAAAAGGCAACCTTGAATTGGTGTCACACCAACAATAGCTACAACAACAGTAGAGAAGCAAAATAAGAGATTTATGAATTGTTGAGGCCATGTGCAAAGCAAAATGTGGTCAGTGATGTCTTTGGTGGAATATAATACTAATATATATATAAGAGGGTAGCAAAAAAAAGACACTGAATGAGAAACATTTCAAAGTAACACCCTTCAAAGCTGACATCAACAAGCTTTTTCTGCTTAGAATTCTTGGTAACTCTTTCCCTCAGCCTTTAACTAAATGTAGTTCTGTAGTTTGAGTAGAATCCATCACATCAAATTATTGAAATACAAAGATCACTTTTGCAAAATAAAGTTCTCACCTGATGAGTTCCTTTGTTAAGAAATTCCTAATGATCATAAAGAGCATGAAAACATAATAAGTGTCACTTCATTCTGTATATTGATAAAATTTTACCTTTTGTGCTACAACATAAAATTATTTTGATGGTAATTCTGGCTAGTGAAAAGGTAATCTATAGAAACATTACATTGCGCTACCAGGCAAGTTATACAGGCATGTATATGACCCAGAATTTTGGCACATTTTCCAACAGACAGTTTTAGTTACTGATACTTTTCTGTCCTTGATCTGAGAAGAGAAATTTAATTAGTACAGGGGGAGTGTCCTACTAAAAAACCCAATGGCTTTAGCATGAATTTATGTCGAACTAAGGCAGTTAAACCAAGAGTCCAAAAAGCTAACCAGAGTGCTATCTTTTCCCCTTTTACTGACTAGTTGAAAATTCAGTTCAAGACACTCAGAGACTGTGGCCTCATCTTCAATCTGTGTCATCCATCTACGTATCATCTATGTACAAAACGATGTAGACAGTGACAGTTGAAAATAAATTTTAGACAAGGACCATTCAACAGTGGACACAGTTTATTACATTTGCCACTGCATCTCCCTAGTTTCTGCAGCATGAAGCAAATACAGGCTTCTTGCTTGCTCCTGGCTGGGATTTTAATAACCTGACCTTCTCCCTACTCCCTTAAATTTCCAGAATTGCAACCTCACCTTGTGGGCTTTAACTCTCCTACATTCTCCATGGTAATAACTCTGTGCTAAATCATAAAAAGCATTCTCCAGCCTTAAAAAAAAAGAAGAAGAAGAAGAAATATTTATCTCAAAGGTTTCAAACCAGTTCCTTTTTTATTTTGAAGCGGCATGAATTTCATGTCCCATGAATGACTACGATAACTTGTAGTATGATAATTCAACCGTTTAACTCCCATGAGTGACCAAGACAGAATTTCTCCTTACAATATCAATACAATATCAACTAGATTAGAGATGAGAATAAAGAAAAATATCAATTTGGGGATAATTAGTTGATCTGATAAAAAATTCTCCAAACTAATATTATAAGAATTGTATGGTTGACAGTAAGGAGAATTACAAATTTGATCTGGGAGTTTAAGGGTTAATCAGATGAAAACACAAATCAATAGAGAGGTTGTTAACTCTCTTGGGAAGGTCTTGATAAATGCTGATAACATCTGATTTTCTGATAGATATTCCCTTATTTTTAAAACATTCTCATCCCATGTAAGTAACTAATTACTTGTAGTGAGTCTAAAGTTAGTTTAACCCTTTAAGTCCCACTAGTGACCAAGACAAAATTTCTCCTTACACATCAGTACAATATCAAGCAGACAAGTAATGAGAATAAAGAAAAAATATCCAGTGGAGGATTATTGGTTGATCCAATTCCAAATTCTCCACACAAACATCACATGAATTGTATGGCAGACAGTAAAGAGAATTACTAATGAAATCTTGAGACTGAGTTAAAGGGTTAATAGAGTCTGAGGCTTACTCATGTAAAAGCTTTTCAATTTCTTTCTACTTCACTGTCACTTTTTCCAAATAATTCTAACTAACTTAGTCTTTATTGTGTCCTGTTTTGTAACTTTTCTTGATCAGCTAGAATAAATATGATAGAAAAAATATGAAACTCTTACTAAATAAATCTTTTCCTATATTTGACAAAAGTTGGGCTTTTACATTCAACTGCAAACTCAATGAAAACCAATCTCATCAAAATCAATCTAAAATGATAAATTTTGAACAAATACCTAATTGTGTAGCCAATCAAGTGATCTGTATGTGGAAGGACAAACAATGATTTGGCTGACAGGTCACATGCACTGCACAGTGTTGCTGCCCTCTCTAGTGCTTGTAAATCATCACCTGTGATTCATTATAATAGCATAAATTTCCTCCATGAAGGGTACTTAAATCTTTGGATACAGGAACTAATATGAAATAACATATTTTTTTCTTACAGTTTTACAATCGTGTTTTTCTATGTGGGAAGAAACTGTGCCCTTGACCTTGATTACAGACACCACTCTTGGGTCATACTCAACACTTTGGGTGCAGTTTTTCTCCATTTTCCAGCCCATGCCTAGCTCAATAAATGACATGTAACTCTCATCATAATGCCTCTGGCAGATTTCTAAGATAGACCTGGCAGTCACTTATGGTTTGACGTTAGCATGAAAACACTAAACATGGATCTAAAACTCTCTACTTAATGACATCATCTTTTGACTTCTATGTATTTATTGATGTTTACCTGGAGGAAGAGGAGCATTCTTTTGGATAAGAACCACAGCAACCTTAGTGTTCTGGTCTTGAAGACTGGTCCTGCTCAGAAATGAAAAGATTGCTTTGAATGGTTTAATGTACAGGATTGAAGTTATAGAATACAAAATTATTCATTGTACTGGGTATATTTTTTTGCATTTGATGAGCTGATAAGTTTGAAAGTAACAACTTCAAAAGTTGTAATGTTCTTATTATAACTTACAAGCATCTGATTGTCACTTGGTAGAGAAGGAGGTTTCCAGAGTGTCAGGAGCACTTACTGTTGTTATGACAAACGTATTTCATGGTTGTTCTTTGAATAGCACTCTAAATCACAGGAATTGTTAATAAAGCTGATGATTGGACAAAAGTCTTTTTCTTTTGTTAATTAAACAATTGTTTTTTGCTCAAATTTATGTGTTAGTTTGATATATTATTCTGTGTGTGTATCCATTAGAGAGCGTGGAATAAAGTTTCTGAGTTGTACAATGTCATAAAAACCAATATATACAATGGAACCCTCTTGTCTAAAAATCAAACCACACTTGTCATATTACTTAAAAATTTTCAGTCATGTCATTAGTGCTAATGAAAGTTCATTGTTATAGAGGAGTAAGATAAAATTCTCACTCTCTTGTTATTACCTGACTCTTTCTAGTTTTGAAGCACATTCAGTTTGCCTGTCTTTCCACTGAACGTCATCCCAATCCAACTCATAAAACATGACCACCACAGCAGGAGAGAGATAAAGATGTTTGTGCATCCATTTCATCTTCAAGATACCCTTTGGTATGTACCACTCATAGGTAGAACGCTACAAGGAAACAAGACTCAGTGATAAAAAGCCAGCATATACTTGCATAAGCAGAGGTCTCAGTAACACTGGTTAAAGGAGGCCTACTGCATCTGTGAGAGGTCTCACATTGCTATGGCTATCTGCTAAGATTTTCAACGTTAGTGACCCCACTCATGGCTGTGTCTACCCTCACTTATGGAAAATGTTAATGCCACCCCATGCACACCTACAAAGATAAAGGTTCACTTAACACTTCAAATCCCACAAGTGACAGGGACAGAACTTACTTCTAAAATTTCAATGCAATATCAAGCAGACAAGTGATGAGAAAAAAGAAAAAATTAGAGGATCATTAGTTGATCCAATTCCAGATTCTCTGAACTAACATCCTAAGAATTGTATGCCAGACAGTACAGAGAATTACTAAGGAAATCTTTGGAGGGAAAGGTTTGAGAGAGTCAGAACTCAAGGAAGCAAGAGAATGCTTCCTTGGGAAAAAAACCCAGGAGTACAATTGATTTGTGATTAACTCTTTTGACGATTTTGTGGAAATCACTCATAGAACTTTCTTTATTAAATTGTATAAGAAAAGTGAAACAGTGGCAGCTTCCTATGCAGACACCCTTGCTGTATGAAAATAGTGTCCATTTAACCCTTTAGCATCTAATTTCTCCTTGTAATACAACCCCAGAATCAAACATTAAGCTAAGGTCATGAGATTAAAGGAAATGATCACCAACTACAGTTCTTGATTGTTACCTTAGGAAAGTATTAGGAAAAGTATGGAGAATATTCATACTGATGTTCGGGTTTAAAGGGTGAGCTTCCACTGTACTGAAAGAGCTTAAATGTAACCAAAATAAGAAGAATTTCACGTAATCAAAGGATTTAAGAGTAACTACACTTAAAAGCGATAGGAAAGCTCACCTTTGATTTTGCTTTGGGAAATTCGTGATCAATTGGTAAAAGTCTGAAAGATAGTGGAACTCTCTCAGGATGCCTGTTCACAGAAAAAGACTCCCAGATAGCTTTGTGCAAAGGTTTCTGATTAATATCAAGTCCCATAAGAGCTGTGAGGCCCAAAGGACGGGTCGCCAGTTCTGTCGGAAATTCGCTGGCTGCCGCCATCTTTGTTTAGGCTAGAAATGTAACCTGGCCGGCTGAAACGTTGACCGTTAGGGACTGGAACGGAAATATATATGGACTCAGATTTTTTTAGCAGTAGTGGTGAATGGCTATCAGCGATTAAGTCGTTTTGTTTAAGGGTCGTTTCTTTAACGACCAGTTGTTAGCTATAAAAGCGTCTTAGGTCGTTTCGCCAACGTTTTAGTTTATTTCATCAACATCTTTGGTGCTTTCAGCCACTGGCGCTTTCTTTCAAATATTTCAAAGCCAATCAACTTTAAGCTTGACTTGAATCGAATCGCTTTAGATTTTTTTATGGGTAATTGACGATCACTGCCACCAAAGCTCGGAGGGGCTGGATAACTTTCCGAACGAGCCAACTCTCAAGCGTACAGAAAATATCCCCGGCCTCGCATAGTTTGCCAAGTCCCCAAGACGAAAGGAAATTTGATTACTCTTTCTTTTACCACTCTCAAAACCTGTTTTTTAAATCATTTTTATTATCTTTTTACTCTTGGAAAACTTTTTCTCGATAACTCGGTTACCACCGGAAGGAATGCGTGATTTATGATTTCCTCATGTTGTCCGGCGTTCACACTCTCGTTCTTTCTTACGTGATATGTACTTGTAAGACCTGATATGGGCTCGATACAGTTTTCCCGTATTATATGAGTGATTCATGACCTACGATAACCGCTAAATCTTGTATCAGTGTTGTATTTCCGAGGTGTCAAAGACATTGATGAGAGATCAAACATGAATAGCAAACCATCCTCGTTCATTACTTATGCCGCCAGTTGTCTGGGGTGGCTAAGTTATGAGAAAAAATTGTGGCCGAGGCAATAAGCAGCTGGGTACGAAAGAGCCAGCTGCGAAAAACGTCGCCGAAGGGGAGGCGGGGGTGAAAATTTCTTGAAAGTTGCAGGTTCTGATTCTCTTTGAAAATGCCCCAAATCTAAGCAACAAATATTTTAATCCTTACAACTTGGTATGAATATCTCCATAAAGCTAAAATGAAATGTTAATCAACGCATTCGTGATGACTTTATGTTAAGCGTTATAAAAGTTCTATGAATTCTCAGTAGTTCTCATTGATTTATTGCCCAATCATAACTCTTCTTCGTTGTTCGCTTGGAAAATTCGTTTACGTCACCCGTAAATTATGGTATTCCTTTGTGGTGCACCCTCTCCCAGGAGAAATCCAGGATTGTCCCTGTCTTCAATACCTGCCAAGTACTATTGTTTCTCAAAAGAGTCTTAATTGAAACGATTCACGTAATTATCATAAATCGAGTACCTATTCAGTTAGCGAGACGATTTTTATCGAGTTAATTCTCCCCGTTTTACTGCGACCGATCCAAGTACGCTTTGCCTGTGTAACACTGGGGAAACGATACATTACTATTAGATGCCAGTGAGATACATCACAGCATGGAATGTTCCTGTTCTGTTCTGCATTTGAAGACCTCTTTGAAGTGACCAGCAGGCCAAGCTTAACGCGTTTGCAGTTTAAGTAACGAGTCTAAAGTCGTGTCGTAAGGAACACTGAAAAGTGTTTGTCTTTTGTCGAGCACTTTCACATGATGAGAGGACCAGAAGTGGTTTTGTTTGTGAGTGTGATCTTCGAGCTTGGGTGAGTGTCAATAGAAATGATGTGATTTAAAATGGAAAACATTCCATCGCGCGTGCAAAATGCCTATTGTTCTCGAGACATTTACTTGCAGTAGCGAAAAAATTCTAGATCCGTAATAGAAGCGGCGAAGCGTACACGAGATGGTTTTAATTGGTCGTGATTTTGTGCCCCTTCCCTCGGGGAATAATGGCATAGCTCATTAACTTATCAGGGCTGGGTTAAGAGACAAAGGAATAAAGGGGGTAAGTTTCTAAAGAAAATGTGTGCTACGTCGGTGGGAGAGTGTAACAGGGTAATTAAGTATTATCAATTGACTTGATAACTGAAACTGGCCACCGTAAAGAGTTTAAAAGCTGACATTTCGAGCGTTAGCCCTTCGTCAAATTTATCTTTCAAATCGGCACTCTTAATCCCCGCGGTATCAACGAGCGATTTTCATTCAACTAATTTTTTTGTAAAGTTGTTTTCCCGTCACCACATTCCCACTAATATAGCGTAGCTCCATTTTCTGCACAAACATTTTTTAAACCCATACACAATCCACAGTTCCTCCAATCCCTCTGACGAAGGGCTAACGCTCGAAACGTCAGCTTTTAAACTCTTTATGGTGGCCAATTTACGTTATGAACTCAGTTGATAATGCTCAATTACCCTGCATAGAGACAAAGGCCGCGCAAAAGTTATTCTTTGTGCTATTGTTTCGTCTTATCACACATCTACCCGATGATTTTTAAAGCTGGCTATTCAATGTACTTAAGCTTTCCAAAGGCGGTTCGCGCATGAATTTCTGCCAAAGGCACTTGCATGCCAAAATCTTGTTGAAAATTGTGAAATCAACAAATATATCACGTCATTGCAATTTTTGCAAACAATTTTTCCCAGCTCCGAATCTGATTATCCGAAGAGTTTAGTCGCTCAATTTCTTAGAAAACGCTTCAGGCGTGTAACTTAAGGTTTCTCCAAATCATTTTCCGTTTATGGAACCTGGAACATGCAAGTGAAAGCTTGATCCAAAGTTTTGTTGTTTTTGCCAGCAACTTCCACGCAACTATTAAACTCACCTGTACTCTTTTTGTTATCAGAGTTGTTTTCCTTTTCATTAAATTCTGGTCGAGTGAAACATCGGCAAAGTATTTGTACGCGGCCGTTGGTTCTCGTGCGAATCTTGTTTTCGTGAAAAATCCTTGGGTTTACCGAGTTCGGTTGATGCGTAAGATATGGTAATTGCTTTGTTTGGCCAAACGACGAATCCTAATGCAATGTTGATTTAATTTTGTTTAAGGATGGGGATAAGTTCTACCCGAAAGGCATTTGGTAGAGAAAGCACGGCACAGAACACATTTTTGCAACGCGAGGGAGAGCGGCAATACGTTATCAAAGAAAAATCGAGTGAAGTCGATGATGGAGAGTTTTTGCTACCACGTCCAAACTATTTAGCGTCGGAACCAGAGGACATACCCGCTGGAATGACAAACGTGAAGCGTCCTGGTAGATTCTTAACTGCTGCCGTTGGGGATGGAATCTCGGACGACACGTCTTCCATTCAGGCCATCGTTAATCACGCTGCAAGTTCCAAAAATAATAAGGTATTCTTCCCTCGAGGTGAATACCTAGTAAGCAGTAATATCGCCATCCCTGGCCCGGTGGAACTTCACGGAACACAGAGCGGTATCGCAGTTATCAAGTCCTCAACTCCTTATGTTTTTCAAGTTTACAATGCTTCACCAGTGAAATCGGTTTCATTGAATAATGTGTACTTCGACGGAATTCGTGTGAATTTTGACGGTGGAGTCAATCGAGAAGTCCCTGGACCAACAGCTATGAATAACGTTACCATAAACAGCTGTGTATTCTTTTCATCCGGAAGGCCAACTCCGAGAAACGCTGAGAGGGAGCAGTTGGAAATGATGGACCTTAGAAACAGTAATGTGTACCGAAACATCTTTTTGCGCGATTCTAATGCGTATGGAGTTGCTTCAAAATTTACCTTCACTGTGGGTGTAGAGGTAAGAGAAAACATATGTGGGCTGGATTTAGGCAAGATAGGCTGGTTAGCCACCAAAGTTGAGCCAGCATGGTACTGGCGAGATCAAAAACAAAAATTAGAATTCCTTATGACTCATTACAATCTGGAATCTGATCAAGGCTTCTTTCAAAGTTGTTGTTATGAAGAGTGCGACGAAAGGATGAGAATCGTGAAAAATATCTTCAACGGAAGCCCAAACACAGGTCGTTTCCGAGACCACGTGATGTACCTCAAAGGCTTCAATATGATGGAAGTTGTAAGTAATTACGTCAGAGGCTGGCCAGCGGATTATTCAGGGGGCATTAAAGCTCGAAATGGAAAAAATCTATTGGTTGCCCGTAATTACCTCGACGACACAGGTATTTTTTTGTATACTCACAGAACAATCAATCCATGTCTCTATAAAGGTTTGAAGAACGTTGTCATCTACAGAAATCATATAGTGCAACGAACCAATCCTGGTCATCTCACAAGTGGTATCTATTATTACGAGCCCCATGATATTGGAATAGATTGGAACATCACTTACTCCGCTAATGTATTTGAGATCGTTGGAGTAAGCGACCCCACTAATTACATATGTATCTGGCTGACCAATGGCGATCTTTCTCAACATCACGTGCTCCAAGACAACGTCTATTATGGTACCAAAATACCTGTGAAGCTGTATGCTGACGACAGTACTCCATCGCATGAAACAAAGAAAAACAACGATAATATTACAAATTGGTACAACTATCCGCTGTACAAGCTAAACATTCCCCCTTATTAGACAGTGCTAAATAACATCTACTGTTATTTGATTATCGAACTTTATTTGCATTGGTGATCGAAGAATTATCCTTTTTAAGATTACAGCGCTCCAGAAGGATTGGAGCGAGTGATGAGAGAATCAGTTTTTTCTAATTATAATCAAAGCGTTCAGTTTAATTATAATCAAAGATGAAGCCGCTTTAAGTTAGGGACTTGCGCGAGCGGATATTTTTGCCCGATTACTAAAGAACTTCAAGTTGGGGGTAACGTAACTTAAAGCTTGAGGTGACGCAACCATGTTTCGAGGCGACCGTCCAGGAGGGCAACTTGTTTCGTACCCCGGCCTTGTGTGACCGGCCAAGCCTTTATATCAGTTACACGGTGGTACGAGATTAAGGAACGACATCACCTGTTACATCTGTTACCTATTAAATACTATTTTATCTTCAAAATTTTAATTTCTTAAAAGGCACAAGGCACAATGGACCACCCCCTTCCTCAGCATTTGTCTCCCACGAAACGCGTGGGAGATAAATAAAATTTTTTACCTTCTCAGTTTGTTTCGTCAAAAACGCTTTTAATGTGAAGTCACGTCGACCTCGACAGAAAAATTAGGCTCACCCTGTCAGAATCAATAGTTTGACAACGTAAATATCAAATAAGGTATATCATTGCGCTTTGATCACAGTAATGAAAAAATGTGCGTTTCCTCACACTCGCCACATTTATTCTTTGGAAAATTATTTTACTGGAGGGCAATGTCACTTAGCTTAGCGCGTCTTGACTCTGACTAACGAAAATTGCCAACGATGTGGCGAGGTGAGCCCCATGAAATTATTGTCAAATGTTTTAAAAACTTTTTCTACCACAACAGAAACAAAAGCTAGTCGCTTACAAAATTTCAAAATGACTTCTAAATTTTGCTAAATCTTCTCGTACAGGGCCAACGCACCTTGAATGGGTCTTTTATTTCATGTTTTACTTCTATGTAAAGATTAGTCTCTATAGCACCCAACTGACTCAACATCGCGAAGTCGGTTACTCAGGACTCTGAGAACTGTCTTCCGTATTGACCGTACACGATACGAAGGGGTCGGTGGTTTGAAACATAGCTCACGGAAAGGTTTCCAAACAAACGCGGCAAGAATTCATCTCTTTAATTTCCTTTTTGAAGCAGAGCGAAGTGGAGGAGGGAGGGGAGTGGGACGTGTAGGTTGGGGTAGGAATGAGAATTCCTCATGCGCCCATGCGTGGACCGCATACAGACACTCCTACCACTTGCATCCTTTATCCCACCACCTTGCCGCCTTAACAATGAACAACAGTGCTATCTGTTTTACTCTGTAACCTGGTTAAAACAAACGCTCGCGATATTTTCTAAGATTTATCTCAAGCTGTCTTTTATTTTAGCGTCTTTGAAATTACTACATAATCCCTTAAGAAACTTTGCCAAAAATTGTATTAAGTGTGCTAAAAAACAAGAATATTTTGATTCCCTAAACAACATTTTGACGATTACCTGACTTAAAAACAATTAAATCACTATGCAAACATACTTTAACTCAAACATTACAATGCCTAAGTGACTTGTTGAACCAGTTTCAAAATATTGCTGCCGTCATTTTTCCACTTGATACTAATTAAGTTCTTGACCTTGAAAGCTTTTTCCACGGTTCTATTTGGAAATCCATTAATTTTTGTCCAATTTTTTAAGCACTCAGAAGTAGTACTGGAACAGACCAAAAGAAAAGCTTTTCCTAAAGATTTTACATAAAAAAATTTAGGATTCTGTTAACGAAACCTATAACAAAAGGCTTTGTGAGAAAACCCTGTAAGACTTAACTGGCTCGTTTTTGATGCTTAAACTATTGTTTTAACTTTCCTGACTTCACTTCACTTAAGAGCCCTAAGTAAATAATGTTTCATGCTAATTATATCGGCCGGATAAGATAATTTTTGTGCCGAAAAAATATTCTCGGATACGTAAACAATACCTCCTTATGAGAAGATCGGAAAAGAGAATGTAAAAAGTTGAAATTAATATCCTTAATTTGAGGTTGCCCTTTCCTTAATTACACAATGAAATAACGGATAGAGTATTTTCTCTACTTATTCTATTTGGTTATCCGTCTAAAAGTCTCTAAGGTCTGTTTCCTTCGAGCTATTCTCATCTTCTTTCCTGTAACAAACGTAAGAAAAAACCAATTATAAATAACTTAATCAACATTTCTTAAATAAAGCAAATACAGTTCTACCAGGCGTAATACGTAGGCAAATGTACACTTGCATCTGATTAGCAGAGAGACTCTTTCGAGATTCTATATTTTACATCCAACTGGAAGAATAAATTGTTACTCTTTGAAAGAAATAAAAAAAGGGTATAAAACCGATTTGATATTCAAGGTGACAAAGGATCACCGCCGACAGTCAGCGACCAGTAAGTCAAAGCCACCTTCGCGTCTAATTTTAACTTTAATTTATGAAATACCTGTCCTCACCGAGTCTTACCTCTGCTTGCCAAACTCGAGCCTCACATCATCTCCAATCAGCGTAAACGAAGCCCACTCAGACACTTTGGTAAAGCCGTTTTTTCTCATCCACTTCATGGCCTGATGAAGGGATTCACCGGCACTTTCTCCTTCAACAAGGTGTTTGTAGAACCGACTCATCAGCTGCTCTGTTGCTGAGTCTGAAATGGTCCACAGCGCAACCAACACAGAGCGAGCACCTGATCCTAAGAACGCACGGGCAATTCCAATAACTCCCTCGGCTCTTATCTCTCCACTTCCACTGTGAGAGCAGCTAAGTACCACCAGTTTAGCTCTGATTTTTACTCGTGAGACATCAGCCATCGTCAACATGTAAGCTTCCTGTGGTAGGATAGCGTTTCGACCGTTAGGAGCAGGAATGGGAGAGAGGGCAATTTCTCCCCTCTCGGCGTTACAATGGGCAGCAAAATGTATCAGGCTCACTGAACTTATCCGCTCAAGCACGGCCTGCTTCGTTGCTTTCTCGTCTACCAGAGGCGGAACACCCACCAATCGTCCGACCATCTCCGCTTCCTTTCTTGCACCTGGCAATGGCAGCAGCCAATCAACCTTGGGATTGCCTATTACCAAGGCACCAGTGTTGCTGTGATAATCCTCTGGACTATCTTGAATGATCTTGAGTGTTGTCAAAGAAGGAATGACACGGATCCTATGAGTCTCCGACAGGTATTCGGTCCCCTCCTTTTCACGGAGAGCAGCAAACGGAACTTGGTACAAACAGCGGTCAGGGACGATTATGACTTCAGGCTCCTCAAGCAAATCATAAACGGGGGCAATAAACATTTTGTAACACAAAGATAGACTTGAAATGACTCCTTCGTTCTCGTCCTCCAGTTCCTCCACGAGTCGCAATCTTGCTGAGCTCTTTTGCCCGGGGGAGAGAGGTTGCAAACAATCTGCCAAACATTTACTTAAAGGCAAATCTTTGGGCAACCCAGCCTGAACTAGATTCTCTTCCACAGATATTCTTTTAAAGTGAAGGACTCCACTTGTTTTCAAGATCCACAAATGCAAATCATTTTGAAAGTAAGAAATGTACAGACAAGTACAGTTATCTTCCTTTCTGGAGATGTCTTCAATGCCAAACCAAGATTGTGGATTAGCAGAGATGTGCGTTTCAACCGAGTACTTCTCTGCCATCAAGTCTGATAGGCCTCTAGCTCGAACCAACTCCTCAACGTAAAGAGCATCCCGAGAATTTCCGGTGGCACAAAGCAACTTACAAAGCAGCTTGTGGGTAAATGTTCCTGAGTCCTCCAGAAATGATGTTTTGAACTGATCATTGGCGCCCAAGAAAGATCTCAGCTCCTCATACTTTTCAATGCACAGGTGAAGACACGAAAGGGAGTCTTTGATTTTATTTTGAAACAAATACAAAATAGCGTGCTCTTGAAGGATTTGGAACTTTTTTCTTCTGTCTCCAATATCTCTAGATATGGATAAAGCTTTCTCCAAGCATACTTCCGAAGCTTCATAATCTCCAACAGTTCTAGACACAACTGCAAGGTTTGCAAGATCTGCTGCCTCCCCTTCCTTATCACCAATTTCAGTTCTGCTAACGAGCGCTTTGTGGAGATGTTCTTTAGCCTTGTCATACTGCCCAAGAGAGTGAAACACAGTTCCTAGGTTTCCATAACATGATGCTTCTCCTCTTCTGTCGCCAATTTCAGTTCTGAAGATAAGCGCTTTTTGGAGATACTCTACAGCCTTGTCGTATTGCCCGAGCGACTGAAACACAGTTCCTAGGTTTCCGTAGTCAGTTGCCTCTCCTTCCCTGTCGCCAATTTCAGTTCTGATAACAAGCGCTTTTTGGAGATACTCTCTAGCATTGTCGTATTGCCCGAGCGACTGGAACACAGTTCCTAGGTTTCCATAACATGATGCTTCTCCTCTTCTGTCGCCAATTTTAGATTTGATGGCGAGCGCTTTTTGGAGATACTCTTTAGCCTTGTCGTATTGCCCGAGAGAATGAAACACAGTTCCTAGGTTTCCGTAGTCAGTTGCCTCTCCTTCTCTGTCGCCAATTTCAGTTCTGATAACAAGCGCTTTTTCGAGATACTCTCGAGCATTGTCGTATTGCCCGAGCGACTGAAACACAGTTCCTAGGTTTCCATAACATGATGCTTCTCCTCTTCTGTCGCCAATTTCAGTTCTGATGATAAGCGCTTTTTGGAGATACTCTACAGCCTTGTCGTATTGCCCGAGCGACTGAAACACAGTTCCTAGGTTTCCGTAGTCAGTTGCCTCTCCTTCCCTGTCGCCAATTTCAGTTCTGATAACAAGCGCTTTTTGGAGATACTCTCTAGCATTGTCGTATTGCCCGAGCGACTGGAACACAGTTCCTAGGTTTCCATAACATGATGCTTCTCCTCTTCTGTCGCCAATTTTAGATTTGATGGCGAGCGCTTTTTGGAGATACTCTTTAGCCTTGTCGTATTGCCCGAGAGAATGAAACACAGTTCCTAGGTTTCCGTAGTCAGTTGCCTCTCCTTCTCTGTCGCCAATTTCAGTTCTGATAACAAGCGCTTTTTCGAGATACTCTCGAGCATTGTCGTATTGCCCGAGCGACTGAAACACAGTTCCTAGGTTTCCATAACATGATGCTTCTCCTCTTCTGTCGCCAATTTCAGATTTGATGACAAGCGCTTTTTGGAGATACTCTACAGCCTTGTCGTATTGCCCGAGAGAATGAAACACAGTTCCTAGGTTTCCGTAGTCAGTTGCCTCTCCTTCTCTGTCGCCAATTTCAGTTCTGATAACAAGCGCTTTTTCGAGATACTCTCGAGCATTGTCGTATTGCCCGAGCGTCTGAAACACAGTTCCTAGGTTTCCATAACATGATGCTTCTCCTCTTTTGTCGCCAATTTTAGATTTGATGGCGAGCGCTTTTTGGAGATACTCTTTAGCCTTGTCGTATTGCCCGAGAGAATGAAACACAGTTCCTAGGTTTCCGTAGTGAGTTGCCTCTCCTTCCCTGTCGCCAATTTCAGTTCTGATGATAAGGGCTTTTTGGAGATACTCTAGAGCATTGTCGTATTGCCCGAGCGACTGAAACACAGTTCCTAGGTTTCCATAACATGATGCTTCTCCTCTTTTGTCGCCAATTTTAGATTTGATGGCGAGCGCTTTTTGGAGATACTCTACAGCCTTGTCGTATTGCCCGAGAGAATGAAACACAGTTCCTAGGTTTCCGTAGTGAGTTGCCTCTCCTTCCCTGTCGCCAATTTCAGTTCTGATGATAAGTGCTTTTTGGAGATACTCTAGAGCATTGTCGTATTGCCCGAGCGACTGAAACACAGTTCCTAGGTTTCCACAACATGATGCTTCTCCTCTTCTGTCGCCAATTTTAGATTTGATGGCGAGCGCTTTTTTGAGATACTCTTTAGCATTGTCGTATTGCCCGAGCGACTGAAACACAGTTCCTAGGTTTCCATAACATGATGCTTCTCCTCTTCTGTCGCCAATTTTAGATTTGATGGCGAGCGCTTTTTGGAGATACTCTACAGCCTTGTCGTATTGCCCTAGAGAATGAAACACAGTTCCTAGGTTTCCGTAGTCAGTTGCCTCTCCTTCTCTGTCGCCAATTTCAGTTCTGATAACAAGCGCTTTTTGGAGATACTCTCGAGCATTGTCGTATTGCCCGAGCGACTGAAACACAGTTCCTAGGTTTCCATAATATGATGCTTCTCCTCTTCTGTCGCCAATTTCAGATTTGATGACAAGCGCTTTTTGGAGATACTCTTTAGCCTTGTCGTATTGCCCGAGCGTCTGAAACACAGTTCCTAGGTTTCCATAACATGATGATTCTCCTCTTTTGTCGCCAATTTTAGATTTGATGGCGAGCGCTTTTTGGAGATACTCTACAGCCTTGTCGTATTGCCCGAGAGAATGAAACACAGTTCCTAGGTTTCCGTAGTGAGTTGCCTCTCCTTCCCTGTCGCCAATTTCAGTTCTGATGATAAGTGCTTTTTGGAGATACTCTAGAGCATTGTCGTATTGCCCGAGCGACTGAAACACAGTTCCTAGGTTTCCGTAGTGAGTTGCCTCTCCTTCCCTGTCGCCAATTTCAGTTCTGATGATAAGCGCTTTTTGGAGATACTCTTTAGCCTTGTCGTATTGCCCGAGCGACTGAAACACAGTTCCTAGGTTTCCATAACATGATGATTCTCCTCTTTTGTCGCCAATTTTAGATTTGATGGCGAGCGCTTTTTGGAGATACTCTACAGCCTTATCGTATTGCCCGAGAGAATGAAACACAGTTCCTAGGTTTCCGTAGTGAGTTGCCTCTCCTTCCCTGTCGCCAATTTCAGTTCTGATGATAAGCGCTTTTTGGAGATACTCTAGAGCATTGTCGTATTGCCCGAGCGACTGAAACACAGTTCCTAGGTTTCCGTAGTCAGTTGCCTCTCCTTCCCTGTCGCCAATTTCAGTTCTGATGATAAGCGCTTTTTGGAGATACTCTTTAGCCTTGTCGTATTGCCCGAGCGACTGAAACACAGTTCCTAGGTTTCCGTAGTCAGTTGCCTCTCCTTTTCTGTCGCCAATTTCCGTTCTGATGAGAAGCGCTTTTTTGAGATACTGTTTAGCTTTGTCGCATTCCCCGAGTAACTGAAGCAACGCTCCTAGGTTTTCGCAACAGGATGCTTCTCCTTCTTTGTCGCCAATTTCGGTTGCTATGGCAAGGGCTCTCTCAACATGCTCCTTCGCTTTTAGGTTCTCGCCAAGTTTATAAAGCATAATTCCGAATCTTGCGCAGGCGCTTGCTTCGCCAACTTGTTCACCAGCTAGTCTCTTGATATTAACTGCTTTTTCGTAAAGTTGTTTGGCATCTGTTAACCTGTTTTGACTCTCAACAATCTCTGCAAGAGCTAAGCTTACATCTCCTTCCCTTTCTAAGTCACCAGACTCGCTGTATAAGACAAGCAGTTTCCTGCCGTATCTTTCCGCACTTATGTAGTCAGAGATACGACGATAAGCGTTGAAAAGAAGTAAATTGAAGGCGCTGTAAAATTGTAGCAGTAGTGTATTAAATTGGTCTTTGCTGTTTTGATCGGTGTTATTTAGCAAAATCAAACATTCGCTGCATATCTCAATGGCTTTCTGAATGCGATCTGAGTTGAGTAGGAACAGGGCAACTAGAAAGGCGATGTTCATGAAAGCTATCATGGCTTCTGTCGTTAGGTTTCCATTGCCATCCTCTCCTGTCATAAGGGAAACGTTATTATAATAACAAAAGTTAACAGAATGACTCTGGATTCACGATAAGTCACTACAAACAGGAACCCATATGTGAAGTTACCAAAACGGGCTGGAAACTTTTTGTAACGAGCTGAAAGTGTTAGAATTCATAATATCGAATTAAAACAAAAAATAATAAGTGAAGAAGACGCGTGGATAAGTACAACTGGAGCACATCAACGGATCACATTCGGTGAAACTTGTTTCTCTCTTTAAAGGTAAGCTATCTTTGCGTGACAATCGACCCCTTGTCTTCCGAAGACACGGTCACGGTCGCGGTCACGGTCGCGGTCGCGGTCACGGTCACGGTCACGGTCACGGTCACGGTCACGGTCACAGTCACGGTCACGGTCACGGTCACGGTGAACTTTTTATTTTTCTAGCGGGTGTGATTTGCGTGATCGAAGCCCAAAATTCTAAAAAAAAACTAAGTGACTGTATTTCGGTTTGGCCGGTGACCAGTGATGGATTTGAGCATCCCAAAATGAAATTTCAAGAAAATTGCCACTGGAGGACACTAACACCGAGCGATTATTCGAATGATAAAAATTCAATATGGCTTAGGTTCTTCCTTCTTATCGAAAAGTAACAAACAATTGCAAGCTTGACAAGCTTGCTTCCCGTTTAATTTAGTATTGACGTCAACATTAAGGAACCTAGTAGTCAGGACGGCAACGCCTAGGAAGACTTCGATTAAAAAAATGAATTTCTGCCTTTAATTAAATTTTAAAAATGGCTGCATGTGTTTATCGTCTCATACGGCGCCACACCTCTACTTCAGCATAACGTATAAAAGAAGCGTTGAGTTCCAAATGGAAATTAAAATAATTTGCCGTCGCGGTTTCGGTTCGCAGACGACGCAAGTTGTGGTGATTTCACGTTGTTGTTTTGCATAGGACGGCAAAGAAATGTACAAAGTTTTGAAACGCACGTGCTAAGCTATTGTTCTGCCACTTAGATCTTTTGTTTTTCCATGTCCTTGTTGCCGTCGCCGTCGTGGTTTGCTTAAGGTCCCTATTACCTGATTTCTCCAAATTCGGGGAAATTTCATTCTCCAAGTCTACACGGTCAAAGCCAAACAAGTCGCTTTTGAGAATTATGGGCTCACTGTAGTAGATCGAGGGTCTTAATTAATGGGGTGATGGCTTTTACGGCTAGCGGTTAAAATTTTGCCTATTTTACGACTAATGGTTAACACCATTCCATGCATGAGTGGTTACCAGAAATTTTTTTTGAGTTTAATTTTGTTCACGACTAACGGTTAAAATTATACAATTTTTACGCTTAACAGTTAATTTTTTTGGGCGTTTTATGGCTCACGGTTAACCTTCTTAAGACCCTCAATCAAACACTGTTACCGCCAATATTTGATTTGAAAAAATTAAAACTGTGATCCAAAGTATTTAACAAAACCACTGAGAATAGCAACTGATCAATTATCAGAGACGATCGAGAAAAAGATCAAAATGGTATGTCTTTTTTCCCTCAAGTGATTCATTATGTACGAGACGTGAACTAATGATTCTCATTTCACAAAATGTTAAAATTAGAAATGTATCTCTAATCTTGCAGAAGATGGTGAGAGTTAAACTCCCCAGTTTTCATGCGACTGTCGAAAATTCAAAACGGAATTCGAATACTAAGGGAGAATTAATGAGAGGGAGATATGGAGAGCGAATCAACATTTACTCAGAAGATTTAAGTGTTCCAATTCAAACGAATGAATTTCGGTTTTGTTCTGATCCTTCGGACCCTGATCCACTAGCTTGCTCCCCATAACAAACGAGACGTAGGTCCTTCATCAGCAGTGTAACCAGATTTATTCAAAGTAAATTTCGTGGTGAAACGAGAAAGCGTTTTCACCGGCGAGCACGACAATTACAATCCCCGACAATCACATGGAAAACTCCACACCCTAATACCTTACGATGAAGTACAATGCTTAACTGTGTTTGTGACGCTAGACGCGTGACACGTGACACGTATGACAGAACAAGTTTTGTACGTCACACTTTTATAACCAATGATGGAATTGAACATGTAAAAATAACTTATTTCATTCTTTTTTAACAGGAAACGTCAGGCTTCTGTGTCCATCCCTTTCCAAAATTGGAATTTCATCACAAGATCGATACCAGTAGAACGAAAGCTTCTTCCTTTAAACGGTAAGCTATCTGTGCGCAATAATCAACTTTTCATGAACTAATACGGAAAACTGATCAGCAGTTTACTCCGCAGTGAATCGATTTCGGTTTTGCACGTCACACTTTTATAACTTCAAATCGACCATATTTCGTTCCCCATACTATTCTTTATAACGTGTTCAACTCTCCTAACTTAACACCGAGTCACACAACGCGTGACGCTCTCATGAATTAATCGTTTGCTTTTTCTCGAGACGTGAGCTTGGACCGCCTCTGCTGACATCAGTAAAGGACATTCTGCATGATAAATATGTCTTAATATAGGATTGATTTAAGTTTTCGATCACGTGATTGTGGAAACCCGACATCAGTTTCTCAAATTAAACAATGCTTAGGAGCCCATGACTGTAAATATCAAGAATCGCTGGCCAGGCGAAAAAAATCGAAAATTCTGATAATTTGCCTGGAAAACCCTTTTAGGGAGATATGTTCAAAAAAAATTTTTCGAAGTTTGAAAAATTAAATGTGTCCGGGAAAATAGGGAAAAACGAACATTTGGGTTTTTACCTAATTAATTATGCAAAAAATACAGTAAAATTGACCAACTTTAGTGTGCGAGTACTGAAGGAGGATGTTTGGTAAGAAATCGAGGGTGTTTTTACTTCAAAGTATAATTAATTTGATTTTTATTTGTGGCATTTTAAGGAGCTTTGATTTAATTTTAAAATTCACATGATTTTTTAACAAAGTGCTGTCAAACGCTTGTTGCAAAAAGCGAAAAATCGAGCAACTTCAAGCCTTCAAAACGCATCTTGGCATGTGAGAAATCATATCAAACTACATGCTGGCACAAAGTTTGGTCCTTATATGAAAATAATATGAAATAAAACATCTGGGTAATTCAGAAAAGTGCCGGCAAAATAAAAGAGTTTGCAACGCAAGGTCAAGAATTTGCATGATGCAAATCAGTTGTAGAAATCGTACTTGAGAGCTACAAAGTAAACAATAGAGTTAAGATGGTTAAAAAGTTCTTTGATATGGAAGTGATATGAAATTATAGAATAGAAAATCCGCAGACATTGCTGGAGAGGGCTGTAAATTGATGTGTAGATACGAAATTTTCTGTTAATTCGAATTGCAGAAGACTGTTATTGTCGACTCGCTATTTCAACAGCACTACCTACACCTAACTATAGATAAGGGCCGCTGTATAGTTCACCATTTTTGTTGACTAGTGGTTTATTATCGACATCGTTCTTAGTTGAATAGTTATGTTTTCTGCAACTGCGATAATATTTCTTTAAAAATATCTTGGATATCTTGGAAAAAGTTATGTGAGTAAACAAAGTCACGCAACACCGCAAGCTTCTGCTGTGAAGTTTTTCACCTCAAGATAACAGCCCAACTATTTTTATGCTATTTACTCATATCTTTTTCGGAAAAATGGCCACATTTCTGTCATAAAACTTGATAAAAAGGACTTATGTCACGGTAACAATTATACCGTGTTGTAGTCCGAGCGATAATTCTCTATGATGCAATCACGGTCTTTTTCTTAAAGGTAAACATGTGCAAGGTTTTTCATAGAGCATAAACAGAAAACGATGTCATTCTGTAGCTTTGCTTCTCTTCTTGGGGGGGCTTGTGGTGCAAGTTCTGAAAATCCAGACATGGCTGACTTTATCAAATTGAAAGACTGTACTAGGGATCAAGTGTTTCCATGTCCAAAAGAGGGCTGCACGCAAGTTTCCAACGGCACTCTTCCCTAGAAAAGCATCTCGCGTTCGGAACATGCACAAAGACGGTTGAAAGGGAGACACTTCTTGATAAAGAGATTATATAGATAGATTACATAGATTTAGCCAAGCCTAAAAGCGGAGCTCGCATTTTTTTCCCCCGCATTTTTTTCCCCGGGTCGTCCGACTCGGAGCCCAGTGCACTGACCACTGGACTACTGGACAAAGTCGTGACGTTGGCGTGCTCGCGGTACAGTTGACCACGGTCGCACGGTCGCACGGTCGCACGGTTGCTCAACCAAATTTTTTCGGCTTGATGGGTTACTACTATTTTTCATAATTATGGGGCTACACTCTGCGTGACCAGTGCGTGCTCCGCTACTGAATGCTGGTCATTATTCTTGTAAATATCATGTTGTAGCCGTCAAAAGAGCCTTTCATACACCAGAACCGTTAGGCGGTACGATTTCTACAACTGATTTGCATCATGCAAATTCGTGACCTCTGGCCACAGTGCGTCGCAAACCTTTATGTTTTGCCGGCACGTTTCTGAATTACCCAGATTTTTTATTTCATATCGTGTTAGTATAAGGAATAAACTTTGTGCCAGCATGTAGTTTGACATGATGTCACACATACCAAGACGCGTTTTGAAGGTTTGAAGTTGCTCGATTTTTCGCTTTTTGCAACAAGCGTTTGACAGCACTTTGTTAAAAAATCATGTGAATTTTAAAATTAAACCAAAGCTCCTTAAAATGCCACAAATAAAAATCAAATTAATTATACTTTGAAGTAAAACACCCCCGATTTCTTACCAAACATCCTTCTTCAGTACTCGCACACTAAAGTTGGTCAATTTTACTGTACTTTTTGCATAATTAATAAGGTAGAAACCCGTATTTTCGTTTTTCCCCATTTCCTCGGACACATTTGATTTTTCAAACTTTAAAATAATTTTTTTGAATATATCTCCCTAAAAGTATTTTCCAGGAAAATTATCAGAATTTTCGATTTTTTTAGCCTGGCCAACGATTCTCGATATTTACAG